GAGGAACGGTCCATAAGGAGAGGAGGGAGGGAGGAACGGTCCATAAGGAGAGGAGGGAGGGAGGCATGGTCATAAGGAGAGGAGGGAGGGAGGAATGGTCCATAAGGAGAGAAAGGGATGTGAAAGCAGAGAGGGCTGGGCACGGTGGCTCAGGTCTGTAATCCCAGCACTTTGGGAGGCTAAGGTAGGACCACTTGAGACCAGGAATTCAATACCGGCCTGGGCAACATGGTGAAATCCTGTCTCTACAAAAAATACAAAAAATAGCCGGGTGTGGTGGCGGGTGCCTGTAGCCCTAGCTACTTGGGAGGCTGAGGTGGGAGGACTGCTTGAACCTGGGAGGTCGAGGCTGCAGCGAGTCATGATTGCATCACTGCACTCCAGCCTGGGTGACAGGCTGTCTCAAAACACAAACAAACAAACAAACGAAGGGGCAGAGAGATCTGAAAGTGCTGTTGGCTCTGAAGATGGAGAAAGTGGTCAAGAGCCAAAGAATGCAGGAAACCTAGAGAAGCTGGAAAAGGCAAGGAAATGGATTCTCCGCGGAGCATCCGGAGGGCGTGCGGTCCTGCAAGGGGGTGGATTCTCCGCGGAGCATCCGGGGGGCGTGTGGCCCTGCAGACACCTTGGTTTCAGCCCCGTGAAACTCATTTCGGACTTCAATCTCAAGAACTGTAAGATGAGAAATCCGTGTTGTGTTAAGCCATTAAGTTTGTAGTTACTTGTTACAGCAACAATAGGAAACTTTTAAGTTGACCTTATCTCTTGCTGCTGATTTGCTGTCCTACCCAGTGATTGATTCGTTCCATTAACATCTATGGCCCATCAGACACGATGTGAAACGTTCTGTCTATTAAAAAAACATATTAAGTCACAGCTGCCTCAGGAGTTCACAGACTAGTAGCCTCCATCTCCTCCCTGCCAATGTGACTGTTTCTTTCCAACAAGTGAGTCGGCCCATCTGGCAAACCCAGGAGTTCTGCGTACCTGGTCACGGATAAGCCCGTGATGGAGAATGCTCTGCATGTCCCTGCAGAGCCGCTCCAAGCCGCCATACTTAGACCAGACGTTGGGGCTGTTGGCTGATACCAAACCCTCCACCGTAGTCTTCAAATGACCCAGCAACTGCCAGTGTTCCCTCCTGCAAGGGCATCAGTTACCAATGGTTAGTTACCTTTGTTGTGCCTGATCTGGATCATATCAAAGACAGCCTCAGCCGAGGAGCCCCCGCCCCACATCCTGACATCCTCTCCCTATTAATTTTCATTTGGGCGTAACACTCAACTCTGAGAGAATCAAAGTTGTGAACGATACTAATTATAAAGACAAAAAGCAAAAAGCAAAAACCCTCACATTCAAATGGTATGTTATGCTTTGTAAGGGGATTTTTATCTACTATCTCACACAATCCTCAAGTAAGTAGCATATAACTCTAACTTTACAGGCGTATAACCCATTCACATCCATTTTTATTTTTTGAGACACTTATTCCATCGCCCAGGCTGAAGTGCGGTGGCACGATCACAGCTCACTGCAGCCTCAACCTCCCAGGTTCGGGTGATCCTCCCACCTCAACCTCCCAAGTAGCTGGGAACTACAGATGTGCAACAACACAGCCTGAAGATTTTTAAATTTTTTGTAGAGATGGGGTCTCACTATGTTGCCCAGGGTGGTCTCTAACTCCTGGTCTCAAGGGATCCTCCCACTTCAGCCTCCCAAAGAGCTGGGATTACAGATGTGATCCACCGTACTCAGCCTAAGATCCATTTCTTAACAACGACAGTACCTGCACAATATACAAAAAGATGAAGGCATCCACCAGACATCTTCTGCCAAACAAAAAAGGCCAGAAACGACTTCTTATTTCCTATATTTCCAAGCGCTAACTACAGCATCGTGAAGGACAGAAACTGTAGTACTAAGGCGGTCACTAAAATGTCATTTATGGTTATACCGTAAGAAACGGCCATTGCAGAGGCCAATCGACTGCCAACTTTTGCTCAGTGACTCTGCATATCCTATGCCTCTTCCTCAGAGCTAACTAGCCTCTGATTTCTTAGTGACACAGTCTTCACATGTGCCAACAGGTTACAATCCGGTCTCATGGGCCTGAGAATCAGTCTGACTCATGAAGTGACTCTGCATACCTGTGTTCTGATTCATTCTGTACTGATCTTACAAGGTTAACT